CCCCCCCCTTTTCATTATACTAAATTACACAATATACGTATAATTTATTGTTTCTGTTCTGTCTGAGACTTCTTCTATCATAATATATTATAATTGATGACAAGCTCAAACATTCAAGCAGCTTGACTGCGGAACAGTGAAAACTCTGGAAAACGAAGAAGAAAATAAAAAGTGTGAAGAGGAAAAGGAAAGGAACGACGAAGTAAGAAGATGGAAATAACAAATGGCGATCAACACCAAACAGTCTAAGTGTTTATAGAGTTCAATCTTGGTATGTTGCTGGCATAAGACGGACCATTGTGGAGTCCAGGTCTACATTGTGCTCATTACACTACTCTTTAAAAAAAACATTTATCATGTAAATTCCAAACCGGGTGAATGACTAATTTTAGGTGAGAACACGTTGTTACCCACCACTTATCGATAACGAATCGCTAGAGATCTAGAATCTAGAATCTAGATTCTAGATCTAGATTTTTTATATCTAATATCTAGATCTAGATATCGGTTAGATCTAGAGTATAGATATCTAGATCTAGATATAGATCTAGATATAGAATCTAGATTAGATCTTATATCTAAGTATCTAGAATCTAGATCTAGATTCTAGATCTAATTTCTTTTTATCTTTTTGGGGGGAGAAAATCCACATTAATTAGGCATTAGCCTTATCTATTCATAAGTTCAAAGATTCAGTTGCATGATGACAGGCAAATAAGTGTAAATAACTGTTGAGAGCCACAGCCAGGATTAGCCATGGTTCTAGAATCTAGAGATCTAGATATCTAGATCTAGAATCTCTATCTAGATCTAGATCTATTTCTATATATATAATATTAATATCTAATATTTAGGAAGTGATTATTCACACCTGGTGTTCGAATAAGAAATAATTCTATTTGCACAGGGTCGAGCCTACATTGATTTTGGACCTCGTTTGTCCCACCTGGGTATCCCACCTTTTGGCAAAGGCTATGTAAAGATCTAAATGTTAAAACAACTGTACTCTAGGAATCTAATCTAGATATCTAGAAACTAGATCTAGATCTACTTATTTTCTTGTTGTTATTGTTGTTCTCTGATCATGTGTTTTCTATTTTTTATGTTCATCGTAGAAAGTGGCTAGTGGCTATTCTCACCCGCCCGGAAGTCTCGCAAGATCAACTCCTCCCCTCTTCTGTCTCTCTCTCTGTCTCTTTCTGAATACTGTCTATCGGTGTGGACGATCAAATTGACCAAAACAGAGTTAAAATATGATGTTAAAACACAAAAGTAAATTAATTTGGTTGTCTACAAAGATGCTACGGCTATTTAACTTTTCGAATCGAGCCGAACTACGCGGGTCGCCATTTTGTTTTGCCCGGAAGTTCTCGCGCTACTCCTCTCTCTCTTTCTCTCTCTCTCTCCACTGCCCACAGACAAAATTGTACGCTTTTAGTAGGCTACAGTTGTAATGGAACGTTTGTTCATGGCACAGAATTCTACAATTTTTCTGTTATCACAGTGTAGAATTCTGTGGTGTAGGGTGAACGCAAAATTTGGTGAACGCACACCGGGTGAGAATAGCCACAAGACTCGCCTGCAGGGGCGAAGGCTGACTTGTTTGACAGGGTAATCAAAGTGAAACGGGACCAGATATGGCCTGTAGATATGACACAAGAATCTTACTCGAGGCGGCGACTCTGAGTTGTGAATGAAAACAAATCCGGAATTCATATTGTATGTTCAACCGCCAAAATAATCGGGAAAGTATCTTATTAAATATCAGTTCCAACTAAAATTAAATTTAACTTTAGATGTGAAAACATAAACACGAAGCAAAGAAGCAGAGACATCAGTACTAGATCTATATGTTATAGATCTCTACCAGTGAGTCTAACTCTTTGGTAGAACATGACAATTATCATTTTAAAAATTTTACATTTGACTGTTTTTGTTAGCCCTCCGCGGCCAGGAGCTGGTGTCATAATCGAGGTCACGATCTGATTATAGGACGGTAAAAAGTCGAGGAAAAAAAGCAAGCACTTGCAACAGTGAAAAGATTGTTAGAGGAGTCAGTTCCCCTCACATTTGTGAGGTAGACTCGACCAGTGTTAGTTAGCTTACTTAATCAGGGCTTGAGATTGATTTAACTGTGACCCCAAAGGGGTGAACAGGGTATATGTGGCAATGAAACAGCTTAGACTGCTATGCACATGTTCCCTTCAACTATATTGGTGGACTCTTCCAGCCTCACTTTAAGCTTACTTAATCAAAGCTTGCGATTGCTTATGGAGTGGCCCAAGAGGGGTGAGGAGGCTATTTCTGTGGCCGTGAAACCGTTTTGAATGTTAGGCATACTGTTCATTGTTGATTACGAACGTCTTTTGACATTTAATTTAAGAGGTTTACGTTTATGGATGAATTTGACAGCGACAATGTTTCAAAATTAGGAAGGGAAGCAGTGATTATTTGATTATATATAGACGCTTCGCCCCTGCTCGCCTCTCACTCCGGGTGAGAATAAAGGTGGCCTTCATCGTAATGTCAATATAATTTAATTTGATGTTGTTCCTACTTACCTTTTGTATGTATGTAGAGGTAGGGTTTTACGGCGCTCGCAACTGCTAAGGTTATGTGAGCGCGCTCTTACCGTTTAAAAAAAAAATGAAATGTGTTATGTGAGTGTGAGAGCGTGTCTCCACCAAAACCGAAAACATGTACATGTTCTGACACTGGCAGGCTCGTTGTGTGTGATTCCATTTATTTACATATCCTGTTTCTTTTTCTTGAATAACACACGTTTAGGATTAAAAGGGCCACTTTTCGGATAGGTGGACACAGGCCCTTATTTGTTAATTTTTGTGGTTATTTATGTTCTGTTCTAATTTTGATTTCATTCTGTTGTGAATCCTGTATTTTTCACGATTTTACAAACTACAAATGATCTTCTGGATGCTTGAAACAGAACACAACAAATTTTGGTGCTTTAGATTAAGTTACCTCTACCAACATATATTGCTATATATTTGTCTTGAAAGCTTGAAAATTATTGACAACTTTTATGGCAACTTTTGCCATTTTTGTGGCAACTTTTGGACTATAAAATGGCAACAAATGCGGATGCTAGCGCAATACACAACTTGAATCCAATTTGAGTGGAGTTTTTTTGTATCACACTGCACAATTAGAATTATTTTAGATCCATCCCTACCAAAGATAACACAAGATTGTTCACTTCACCCGAAAAGTGTTCGCAGAAGTCGGCGCATTGCTTCAGATGGCAATATAGCCTTTGTTTTGAAGCTCTCTTTCGTTTCAAGCTCTCTTTCGTTTCTTCAGAAAAAGAAAAGGATTTATATAAGCACAGTCTTTTAATTTCGCTTTTATTGTTTTTCACACAAGTCGGCTAACTCTGTTCGCAAAGCCTGCACTTTTTCGAAGAGGGCTCCACCAAATTGTGATGACACTTTTTTAAATTGGTTCAAAGAGAGGAATAAATTATCTACATGATCTTTGTCCCTACGCGACAAGGGGGAAAAATGAGGAAATGCTAAGCCCATTTAATTTCCATCCTTCTTTTGAAATGCCCTGTGTCAATATTTTGTAGTATTCACTCACACTCCCTATGTGAATATAATTTCATAGTTTTCACACACCCTGTGCGAATAAAATTTCTTACTGTGCGCACACCCTGTGCGAGTACAATTCCATAGTGTTGACACACCCTGTTCGAATAACTACAGCCATTTTATCAAATGCAATATGCATCAAAGTTTTCCTCACTGGTCACTGCAATTTTCACTTGAAGCTGCACGAGCGAGCGCTAGATCTATTCCTGGCACACCTCTGTGATTGGCCCAAGTATAGATCAGATGACATATTTCCGCCATCTATTTTTGTCGTCTTCTGGGGTTTCTCCCAAGACTCTTGGGTTTCCCACACCAATAACTGTTGACTAGATCTAGATCTCGCCGTGTTTGTTTTGTTGGGGGGGGGTTTTGGTATTAATTTGTGTTGGGCCTATTGATTATTTATAAACAATCTTAGCAATTATTTTTCCATTTATTTACCTTCTTCTCAAAGTTGTACACACACACACACAAGCGCGTGCGTGCACGTACACACACACATGCACAAATGTGCACACACAGCCCAAGCTGTTGGCGATGAAATCTAGTGAAGTAGCCCATGTCGCGGGCCTGCCACGGTGAGATATAGGTGCTCGCTGTAGCTTCCATGTAATTACACATGAAGCTACAGCGAGCACCTAGCATACCTCTGCGATTAGCTGAAATATAGATGACGTATTTCCGCCATCTATTTTTGTTGTCTTGCGGGGCTTCCCTCATCAGTTGACCAAAGATTGTGTAGTAGAGAATCTTTGAGTTGACTAGATCTCACAGTAAGGGGCACCCTGTGTTAGCATGCGATGGACAACGTCACTAGGTTTCATGGGCTGTGTGTGCACGCATGTGTGTGTGTGCGCACGCGCTTGTGTGTGTGTATGTGTACAACTTTGAGGAGAAGGTAAATTTATGGAACGAGAATTGCTGAGATTCTTTATAGAAGATATCACAAACTTTTTGTTTTAATGAGTTTTATAGCGCTCGCAACTGGATTAGATCATATGAGCGCTAACACAAATTGATACCAAAAAAACCCAACCCCAAACACTGCGAGATCTAGTCAACAGTTACTGTGGAAACCTGATATAACAGGGATGGTGGGAGTAGAGAAAATGTCCTGCTATACCCGATCCCTGTTAAATCAGAAATGCAGGGTAGTTTCCTTTGTCACAAGTACCCACGAACAGGGGTTTTGGCACCAACTGTCTCCTTGCCTCCTTAAAATCACATCAGAAGAGCTTGTTCCACAGCATCTGCATCGGTTGTGTCATCTTCTTTCAACCCAGAGCAAATTTTCCATTGGGGTATACAGCCACTATCTTTTCTCTATCCTTGATAATGGTGAGAATCGACCTTTGTGGAATGTCGAATTGACGACAAATCTCTGCCAGTGGAGCTTGCGTTTTGTCAACAGCCTGGATTTTTTCGGGGTTTTTTTGTCAATTGAAAGGCATTTTCTCTTGCGTTTGACATCGTTGGTGACAGTAGACACATTACGCGTGCGTGTTGCTAGGTTTCGGGCTAGATCGAGGTCTGCAGCACACCGCAGCCCTCTCTCGCTTCACATGCTACCTGTGCTTGCTCTACTTGCAGTGGCATGGCTTGCATGGGCTTGCTCCATCACTGCTGTACTCTCTCTCTCTCTCGCTCTCTTACTTTTTACACATTGTTAACGAGCCATTGTCCCTGCTATAACCGGTTGGCCTCCGATGGGGCCCTGTTATTGCCGATAACTTTTAATAGAGACAAAGAGTAAGAAAAATCTGGGATTTAAAATATCCATGTTATTACCGGATCCCTGTTATTACCGGGCCTGTTATATTTTTTATACAGTCAAACCTGTGTAAGACGGCCACCCATTGTCAAGGAGAAAAGTGGCCGTATAAGACAGGTGGCCGTTTTAGGCAGGACTGATCAAGATGAAAAAAATGAACCATTCCCATCTGAGGTCCCAATCGAAAGTAGCCGCATTGTTTCTGTTTTTGTTGTTGGTGGTGGTGGTTTGTATTTTGTTGGTAATTTTTATTTTGTTGCTGATTTTGCACAAGGGTGACAATAAAACGAAAGGTATCTGACGAGGAAGACCGAGTGCCATGTTAAAACAAACACATGGGTCGCCACCATTCGGAGAACGAGCAACGCTTCTGTCCCAAGTTCATGTTGACGTCCTTTGTTACTTTGTTACAGACTGGGTAAACAGTGACCACTCATCTCACTTACGATTTGTGTATTCATTCTGGGCGGGGCTTATGGGTTTTGAGGGATCACACGCTTACCTCGCCAGCAGCTGAAAAGTGGTAGCTATTGGTCAACAGTGGGAGGGGCCTACGCAACATGATCAGTTGGAGGGACTACCTAACAACAACGAAGGTGATTGAATTGTGATGGCTCGTCTACAACGCCAGGGGCCAAGGCACAATTTAGGACAAAACGTAATGGAGTCACTAAGGTGGCCGTCTAAGACAGGTGTTATTGCTTAGTGTGATACGGGTTGTGTGTTAAAATATGGTGGCCGCGGCTGCGTTGGACAGGTGCCCGTTTTACACAGTAAAATTATATAGAAAAAACGCAAGGGGGGCAATGGAAAGTGGCCGTTTGTACGGGTGGCCGTCTTATAGAGGTGGCCGTCAGGGCAGGTTTGACTGTATATGGTTTCCACTGTACTGACGTGGGAAACCCAAGAGTCTAGGGGGAAACCCCGGAAGACGGCAAAAATAGATGGCGGAAATACGATCTTTCTAGGTACTTTCTAGAGATTGTATAGTTTTTTCAGTTCAAATATATACACATAACAAATTCAAAGACCGCATAGAAAGACCAAATTACACCAAGCAAATCCAAATATACAAATGACGTCATAAAAAGTCCTAATACAACAATAGCAAGTTCAAATGTAAACATAGAAATCTCAAATGTAACACATAGCAAATTCAAATGTAAATATGCTTGAACTAGAGTAAAAGGAGGCTAAGTGGGTGGTTGGCGGGTGCTCTGGTGTGGTTTGCTCCTTCTTTCCTATCTAACACCTATCATCCTGATCTCTCCTCCTTCTTTTTGTGTCTGTTACTCTCTTGTAACACCTCTAATCTCCAGCCCTTATATGACCTTATTGTGTTGCAAGTGCCGTAACGCTCTTACTAAAACTAAAAAGGAGGCTAAAAGTATAAGAAGTATATCAAGGTAAAAAGTGAAAGGGCTTGGGTTTTTTTGGCCACGAACAAGTTAGACGTAAGCCGTGTGGTGCCACAAGGAAGAAATCACGTGAAACGAAAGTAGGCCTAATAGTTAAATGTTAAAAACCGAAAATAAACTCACATGTTTAACAGAAACGAATGGTTATGATACAAATCAACATAGTTCTGGTATATTATAGAACTCACTGAGTGAAATCTAAAGCCAAGTTTACTTTTATTTACTTATTATTGCACTGCAAAACGCTATGGCTTATAGGCTTGCATTGATCTGAAGGCTGCTGCCATTTTCACTATAGTCACAGCTTGGTTTTTTTCCAGTATCTGGGCAAGTCTGTTACTGTGACCATCCTTTGTTGATGAGTCGGCTGAGTGAGCATTTGGTCTTTTGCTTCACCGAGCCACGGTTTCAAATCGTATTTCCAAATTCACAAGCATTCTCGTAGATGTTAAGAAAAGGTGTGAAGGGGGGTAGATATTTCTTCCCCAATCTATTGATGAGTTGCCATTTAAAGCCTGCCTTTGTGCACGAGCATTGTTACATACAAAGCATACTTTGTTGTGGGGATTGTTAGACCAGTTTCTCAGAGGGATGGGTTGAAACGAAAGCTGCCATTCCCTCTACTTGAAAGTCGTGAAAGACAAGGCCACCCTCGTCACTGATAGTTATTTAGGCCCCTATGGCATCGTGCGGTTCAGTACCCTTCGACCCTGCATTACTCGAACAAAGCATTGACCACTCCATGCTCTTCATCAGTTTCTCTTCATTAACAACTTGATACCAGCCTCATCGATGAAGGCAAATTCATACCGCTAAATGTACTGCATCAGCCATGCTGCATATTGTAATTGATGTCTAGTTGCTTCAGTTCTATCTGAATTTCTTTCCGCGGGAGCATCCTCGGGATTTTTTTTAACAGTGATCAATTCACCTTAAAATTAAACTGCTAATCGTTGTCGACAACTCAGTTTGAGCACTTCAAAATGCTTTTCACGCTGGATAATCTTAGTGGAGGATATTTGCTTTTGCTAAGTGGCATTTGAACTTGCTATTGTGTTACATTTGGATTTGCTATTTGTACATTTGAACTTGTTACGCACAATCGTGCACTAAAATTTCCTATTGAACATTTGAACTTTCTATGTGCCTCCTAGAACACTCAGATCATCAAGTAACAAAACAACCCTTGTTAAGCCTAAAATAAATTACAAATCATATGGCCAACGCTCTTTTTCATATTTTGCCCCACTTGTTTGGAATAGGCTTCCAAAAACGATCAGAGAAGCAGAAAATCTAGAAATTTTTAAGAAGAAACTAAAATCATTTCTATTTTCATCATATTTCGATTAGACAGAATGCATCCAAGCTGTAGATGTTGTATGTGCGTATGTGTGTATGTGAGTATGTATGTGTGTGTGTGGTGCGTGCGTGAGTGAATATGTGTTTGCATGAGTATGTAACACTATGTACCTTTAAAATTGATTTGTAAATCCATTATATCATGTATCATGTTAAGCGCATAGAGCATTGCATAAGTGGATATGCGCTATATAAATGCAATCCATTATTATTATTATTATGTGGCATTTGAACTTGCTATGTGGCATTTTATTTCCTATGTGCACATTTGATCTGAAAAAAACTATATTACATATATCTGTCTCGATGTGAAGATGTGGTTTCCACTCTGTCACTGCCCAGATTGTTTCTGATGGGACAAGTCAAAACAGCCCATCTCCAAAATGATCTAAATGGTGTTTTTGGGGAGTTAACATTTTCTATTACAATAAAATAGTTACAGCTGTACAAAAATTTGTGCTTTCATAAATCAGATTAGGTGCTTTAATTATTGGCTTATATGCTTAGTTCTTTTAAAATACGTGATAAATATATATTCATATGTTTCAATTTTAGTGGAGGCTTGCTTTAAGGTTTCAGGTGTTTGTTTGTTTTAAGTTTTGCTTTAAGATGGTTACCCTTGTCAGTTTCTATCTTTAAAAAGTTGAGTTTACATTGTAAGTATCTAACGCAGTGTACCCTTCATCTCTTTCAGAACTGTGTTTTATTGCACTCCGAGAGGCACCTGAAACTGAAACTCAGCCCGTACCCAAGGAAAGCAACCAATTTTGTCTCTCGATCTTTTACAATGGGTGACGTTCCAGAAGAAAGCATTCAATATCACATTGAGATACAGGACAACCATCTCGGAAACCAGATAGATGGTGATGTAATGGTGGTACTCGACCTAGATGGTCAAGAGCTTCCTGAGTATGTGGCTGAGACCATCATGGAGTTGGCACGCAGTGGTGGGCAACATGCCCACTCTGTCTCAGATGCAAGTCAGCTGAGCAGTGCTGATGCTGTTGCAGTTCACTTAACCGAGGATAAAGACTTGAAGCCTTCTGTTTGTGCGTCTTCAGATGGACAAGTTGATAATATTATACCATTAGCTGCTACAACTTTGAGTACAGTGGAACAAAACCAAACTTTCCGTGTTGATTCAGGACAAGAGAGTGCAGGCACTTTTCAGAAACTACTTGCAGAGAATCACTCTAACACTATCCAAGATTCTGTGGATGTTAAAAGCGTATTTCCTGTTGATATTAAAGTGGATACAGGAGTTCAATGTGAACTCATTCCTGATGTTGAAAATCCTAAATCAACGAAAAGGAACCAAAGTGGCAAAGATCTCCTTAAGAGTGACCTGGTGCCAAGTGTTAAAGAAGAAACATTGGACTCGAAGGAAAACAGTGATATGAGTACACAGGAGAGTGCTAAAATTGTGAAAGAGTTCTCTTGTGAAACATGCAGTCATATGTTTGAAAATGAGATCGATTTGGGAAGGCATGCTTTGTCTGTTCACAAAATTAAGAAACCTTTCAAGTGTTTTCAGTGTGACAAAGCTTTTGAAAAGGAACTGTCGTTTCAGATACATATGCTTAGTCATGAGACTGTGATGATAAAAGGTAAAAAGGGTTTTTTCTTGTGTCCATTATGTGACTTTCAGTGTAGACTAAAGCAGCAACTTATGTCACATTTTGCAGCCTCCCATCCATCTCGAGGAGTCTTTGCTTGTGCTTTGTGTAGGTTTGCTTGTTTATCAGAAGAAGAATTGAAGGATCACAATATTTCACAAAGGCACAAAACAAACAGTGCAAAACATTCAGTTTGTCCTATTTGTAGTGCACCATGTAGAAAAGTGGATGAACACATAGCATTAATGCATTCAAACGAGAGACCCTTTCTTTGTACAAAATGTGGACACAAGTCGAAGACCGAGAGTGCCCTAAAGACTCACATGCTAACACATACAGATAATAAAGATTTTGTGTGTACTGACTGCAACACGGCATTCAAATCCTTGAGTCGTCTGAAAAGACATTTGAAAAAGCATAATCCAGTGAAAAGGTTTTCGTGTTCTAAGTGTTCTTTTGCGACCAATGAAAGTTATGATTTTAAGCGACACATGCAAAGGATTCATACAAGGAAGGCATGTTACACATGCAAAGAGTGTAGTCTCACATTTTTTAGGACAGTAGAACTAAAGTTACATGCAATGTCAGAACACAATAGCAAAGATGTTTTCTACTGTGAGTATTGTGATTTCTCCTGTGTATTAAAGGTTGATTTCAGACATCACATGCAACAACACACTCGGATGAATCGTTTTTCCTGTAAAATATGTGACTTTTCAAGCCCCTGGAAATGCCATTATGAAAGACATTTAACTGTACATAGTGACGTTAAGCCTTATGTGTGCCCTAAGTGTGGGTACAAATGTAAAGAAAAAGTTAATCTGAAAAAACACATGGTTGTACACTCTAACGAAAAACCATTTAGTTGCTCGTTGTGTACCTATAAGTGCAAATTAAAAAGCATGCTAAAGAATCATCACAGAGTGGTACATTCAGAGACCAGGCCATATTGTTGCACTGAATGTAACTATACTGCTAAGACAGCTGGAAACTTAAAAAAGCATATGTGGATTCATGAGCAGCACAAACCTTTCAAATGTGCTCACTGCCCTTATAAATGTCGAGAAGGGAGCAAGTTAAGGAGGCATGAGAGTAAAAAGCACAAAGATGTCGCAAATGATGGCAGTGTTGATGTCAAAGAGGAAGCTCCCATCCGATTTTTGAGAGTTGATTTAGGTCATCTTCCCAAGCCTGTTTTGTTGGATTTGGGTGCAACAGCTGTACCTGTGTAATGGAATACTTTTGGTTGTTGTGGGTGGAAAATGTTTTTTTAAAAGAAATCTATCCATGTTATAAGGTTTCCTAACGATGACTTGATGAATGAGTTAAAACTATAATTTTGTTGAATCACACTAAGTACAAATTTATGCACAGTCAGTATTGATTTCCTTTGCTAAGTGTGGTTGTGTGCATGCTTGAGCAAAGTCTATTATGTGCATGCTTGAGCATGTGTGTGTTTGTGCACTTGATATAATATATGCCTTTCTCTTTCTTGAATAGTGGGTGGTTGGTGGGTGTTTTGATGTGGTTTGCTCCTTTTTTCCTATAAAAAACATCCATCTTCCTTATCTCGTCTTTATTTATTTGTATGTTAAACTACTCTCTAATGATAACTTTAATCTTCAGCACTTACATGACGTGTTTTGTCTCATAGTATGATCTACAGTGGAAACCATATATAACAGGCCCGGTAATAACAGGGATCCGGTAATAACAGGGATTTTTAAAATCCCCGTTTTTTCCTACTCTTTGTTTCTATTAAAAGTTATCGGCAATAACAGGGCCTCATCGGAGCCCAACCGGTTATAGCAGGGACAAAGGCTCGTTAACAATGAGTAAAAAGTAAGAGAGACAGAGACAGAGTAACGCAGTGATGGAGCAAGCCCACGCAAGCCATGCCATTGCAAGCACATGCAGCGTGTGAAGCGAGAGAGGGCTGCGGTGTGCCGCAGACCTCGATCTCGCCTGAAACCTAGCAACACGCACGCATAGTGTGTCACCAAAGATGTCAAATGCTAGAGAAAATGCCTTTCAATTGACAAAAATACAAAATAATCCAGGCTGTTGACAAAAAGCAAGCTCCACAGGCAGAGATTTGTTGTCAGTTCGACATTCCACAAGGGTCAATTCACACCATTATCAAGGATAGAGAGAAAATAGTGGCAGCATACTCCAATGGAAAGTTTGCTCTGGGTCGAAAGAACATGAGACTACCCGATGCAGATGTCGTGGACCAAGCTCTTCTGATGTGGTTTAAGAGGGCAAGGCGAAAGTTGGTGCCAAAACCCCTATTCGTGGGTACTTGTGGCAAGGGAAACTACCCATGAATAAGTGCAGCTGGATTAGTCCACAAATGCCTACTTTCCTTTGCATTTCTGATTTAACAGGGATCGGATATAACAGGACATTTTCTCTACTCCCACCATCCCTGTTATATCAGGTTTCCACTGTATTTTGTGTTGCAAGTGCTTGTACTGTAGCTTGTTCACTTTGTTTGTAATTGTAAGAGAATTTAACATTCCAGCTCATTCATAAATTTAATTTGTTGTGACTTTGCATGACAATTTTTTGGGGCCATGTATGTGGGCCCTACATTTAACATCACCCTTTGGGTGCATGCACAGGATCCCTACAATCAAAGATTTATTGGAACTTAGGCTGCAAATTGCTCAGTTTGAGACTGCAACACCATCCTGCCCTCACATTTCAGTGTAGATCTAGTTTTTCCCCCATGAGTTTTTCCCCAATAATGTTTTTGTGCACCTGTACTTTTGTTTGAAATGCATTACGTGCAAAATTTATAATTTTTGGTCTTATACTTTAAATTTAAATCTTGTCAGACATAATTTCATTTCGAATGTTTAAATTCCTTTTAAAGGATGTTATGTGTGTATGCAATAGAAAAAATGCACTTTTGTTGAAACTTTGAAAGGAGACGGTAAACAAAAAATTTATATTATATGTACATAATATATGTTAATTGGTGAGTCACGGTTGAATTAAAAGGGGCTCAAAGTCAAGAAAGGAAGTCATTAAAGTGAATTACATGTTGTTTAGCTTTTGTGTTTGCTGTACATTTACATTAGTATGGTAGCCTATTGCTAATGTGTACTGGTGTCTTCTGTGATTTTGTTTTGTTTGTTTGGTTTGGGGTTGGGTTGTTTTGGGGGGGGAGGGGGGGTTACGGCGCTCACAACTGCATAAGGTCATATGAGCGCCAGGACACATTAAATTAAACGTTTTCAGTTAATGAGAAATTTTGAATTTAATTTGCCCAGGTGGCGGCCGAAGCCTACTTTTTTCTATTTTGGACCACCAAGGGATCTTTAACATGCGCAACTTGTACACGTGGCCTCCAAGATTTTTTGCCTTTGTCTGAGAAGGCTAGGTGTAGAGCTGTGGCTGAAAGACAAGTAAGCAGGAAAGAATGTGAAAGAAGAGACTTTTAGAGAAGAAAATTTTCCATCTCTCTATCTGGATTTGTACCTGGGACCTACTGAATGAGAGACGAACACTTTAACTGTGAGACCATGAGAGCCCCTTCTGTGACTGTGCTTGTTTTTAAATTTATGTGTACAAAATGAAAAATCAGGTTTTCCGCTGTCTCTTCAAATGAAAGACCTCATGTTTCGTATGATATTTTAATTGAAACAAGTAACATGTATGTGTATAAGTATAATGTACTATTATGCTCAATGAGAAAAGTGATATGTTATATATATGGAGAAAAACTCTCATGCATTTGTGTGTGGAACAAAGTTGGTATAGATGTTGGGACTCTGAGATCAAGAGTAGATCTTAACATACGAGCGAAAGTAAAGATTTTTATCATGTTTAAAACCATGACTTCTAAAGGTGCAAACAGTGGTTCATTTACTTTTTGCTTTTCCTTAAAAGAAATAATAGATCTAGTGATAATGGTAAATAAAAGAGTGGTATGTGGTGATTTATTTTGATAACGGAGGCCTACTTAGTTTAACAGTTTACAGTGCTTCTATTTTGTCAGTGAGAAAAAGGAGGCAAGGTCACACATTCTAATTTGATTCAAAATGTCTTAACCCTGTGACTGTAACATCTCATGAAAGGAAATTCCTTTGACGGGAAAGTCCTTTGACTTTGAGTACATTGTACATGTTTGTCTTTGTTCACAGTAGAATTTGAAAAAGCCACCATTTTCCTTGCACAGCTCTCTAAAGTGCTTACCTCTCAAAAAGAAGAAACGGCAATGATTATAGCACAATTTTGGATTGCTTTCTTTATGTTTTGGGGGATTTTTTATTATCATATAGTGAACATTAAAATCACCTTCTAATAACCATTCATGGATTGTTGACACTGGCACATGGTACATTTAATTGTGGATCTAATTTTCAAATTTTTTGGAGGCCCATCATAGTGCTGTAGCTGGTTCAGTTTCGACAGCATTTAGCCAAGCAGATAACGTACAAAATATGTATCTTTATGAATAATATGATTAAAACACCTTCCCCACTCACTGAAAACAAGTTTGTTTTAAGATCATATATCGCATTTAGATTTTGGAACTCATTTTGACACTTTGTGGGGTGAAGAAAATCACATAAAATTATAATAATTTTATATAAACCTAACAACTATTATTATCAAACAAAATTCTACCAGGGGCGTATAACATAGGAACATGAATTAACGGCGCTCTAACTACTTTGAGATACGGAAGAGTCTTCTTTGATAAAGAGAATGACTTAACATACAATGTAGGCTATTGTATATGATGTATGAAAGTGAAATGTACAACATGTCTATAACTTCATAGGAAATCTGAAGAAAAGAAAGGTACATTGTATTATTGGATCGGCATATGTTGTTCTTTTAGTCATAACAGCAATGAAACACAGCAGCTCTTTAGTAGTTTTATGTTTTTCATTGCATCAAACAACTGATGCTGTGGTACATGTGCTTAATAACTATTGCTATGTTTTATTTTTATTTGGTTAAATTTGATTGTAAAATAAAGACTGCCACTGATGAAAATTCTTCGTTTATTATTTTGGGCACTCGCTGTTAATAATGTAGCACTGTCAAGCTCTGTTTGGTAACTGCCTATCCTTGGGACGAGCATAAAGTTTGCGGCTGCGCTCATATGACCTTATGCTGTTGCGAGCGCCGTAAAACCCCATACTATACTATACAAAGTTTGCGGTACAGGGAGGGTGGCGGTGTATATGTATTGGGATAATATTAATATAATACGGAGTGCTCATTGGCACAGTCGGGTTGGGTCAGTTTGCTTGCCAGATTGAGGGGGCAAAGCGGCTATCGTGGCACAAGCCGATCGCGCCAGACTAGTCGACTCCAAAACGAACGTGTTTGTTTTCAGGAGACGAGTGGGGCAATCGCTCCCGACCGGACCCGATCCCTTCCTCAATGTGCACCCCGTAAAAGTGGCTATTGTGACACAAACCTTTCGCTCGACTCGTCGCCTCAAAAACAATAAACGTGTTTGTTTTCAGGCGATGAGTCGTGCTATCGACCCGACCCGACACGATCCCATCCGCAATGGGCACCCGGAATAACACAGTGGCGTGGGGTGGTGCCAATCTATCTGACTTCTAGGGCCAAGTACTCTTCCAGTCAATGTACTAATGTGTATAATATAATGAGTCTTCTTTGATCTTTAATTTCCTTTTGCTTTTGGACATGCGTGAGCCAATACAAATAAAATGGCAGAATCAGAACATGCGCACATTATAATAAATGTAGTAAGTATGGTGAATATCATCATTTAGTGGAGCAAGTCCTTTCAGAACCGGGACAATGTGAAGGATGACGCCTTTTATGTTTCAACTTCTCCCTTTGTATTGTGTGCAAAGAGTAATAACCGGGGGTAACTGAAGGTGTGATAAATTTTCTTGCAGCGTGAAAATTCAGTCGCCAACCTTTTGAGGGGCTTGGAGGAGGGGACTCTCCTCAAAAAGGGAGGTGAAACTGAGAGGTTGGTGACTCTACATTGTACTCTGTCGCTCGCAAAGCTTTTCCTGTAAATTGATCCTGCCGCTCCCAAGGAGGTTACACAGTGACAGAGGTCCTTGGCCGCTCCCCAAATTGGGGCCAGACGTGAAAAAGCTGCGGGGAACGTGGCCCCACTCTGTCTGCACATAAAGGGGTAGTAGTAGTAGTAGAGAATCTTTGACGGAGCCTTCTGTTCCATCTAAAAACACGGGCCATCTCAAGTAACCTTCCTCACACAAGGAGATTATAAAAGCAAAGATCCTCCACTACACTAGATCTAGTAGCAGTAGTAGTAGTAGAGAATCTTTTGTAAAAGGGACAGATCTGTTGTTGTTACGTCACAGAGGATCCACGCGCTGAGCAGAGAGCGCAGAGCCTACTTTAATTGCGCTGGCGGACCTGTGCGGGCGGGCGAGACTGCACGTACAGTGGTGGACACATTGGGCATGTCTATTGTTAAGGTTTTAATGAAACAGGAAAACGTACAATCAATTATTTATTGTGCTCTGTAAAAAAACGTGGTTATT